ACATGCTTTTTCATTTTGTTTTGACACAGGGTCTCAATGTGTAGTGCAGGTTGGCCTTGAACTCACTTGTGTAGCCTAGGATAGTCTTGAACTCACGGCAATCTTCTTGCATCACCTCCCAAGTGCTGGGATTACAGGCTTGTGCCACACCCTCAGCTGTATATGCATTTTATTGGTTGCTCTGGTTCTATTTTCACCTGTGTAAACTGGCCATATGTGAAATAAGTTTTGATGTTTCAGAAATTAAATATGATGGTGATGGGATGGTGTTTCAAACTGACTTTCCTCCTTGGGTTAACTCAGATACTCTGGTATACATTATAAGTCCATAGTTAATTTCTGAGTTAGAAGCCAGTCATTTTGCTATCAGTTAATATTTGTTTCTTTCATTTTTTATAGCTTCTCTATAAAATAACTTTCTATTAAAATTAATTAAAAATCCAACTATCTTATATGTACAAAATCTGTACAAATTAGAAAACCTCATAACAAAATTTAAATATATATGAGAAAGTGGGAAGGTATTCACAATACACACATTGAGAAAATAGCCTGCATAACAGAATATGAAAAAGCTGGGTCCACAGGCTCACCACAACATTTAGCTTAAAAATACAGATTCTGGTATTAGTCTAAGTAGAGCAGTACACACAAATTTTTTTTTTTTGAGACATAATCTCACCATGCAGTTCAAACTGGCCTTGAACTAACTAGCTCAGGCTGGCCTCAGCTTCCTGAGTGCTGGGATTACAGACACGTGCTACCACACCTGCAATAAATGTCAACTATTGCTCCTCATATAATTTTTTTTAAAACATAAAATCTTAGATTTTTTTTTTAAAAGCACAGAACTGTAACAAATATTTAAATAAATGAAGCCAAACTAATAAGCAAAAGCCATGTGAGATGCTGCACACCTGTACTCCCAGCTACTCAGGAGGTCAAGGCAGGAGGATCAAAAGTTTAACACTACCCTGGGTAATTTAACATAAGACTGTATCACAGTAAAAAATAAATGGCCAGGCTGGGCATGGTGGAGAATGCCTGTAATCCTAACATTAGGGAGGTTGAGGCAGGAGGATTCCTTTTAGTTTGAGGCTAACCTAGGGTACATAGTGAGTTCAAGGCCAGTCTGAACTATATAGCAAGATGTTGCTTCAAAAATAATAACCAAGGCTGGCAAGATAGCTCAGCAGTCTAAGCACCTGCTTGGCAAGTTTAGGGACCCAGATTTGATCAATGGTACCACATGCCATGGGGGCCCTACCCCAAGCACACCAAGCTGGCCACCAAGACCGGGTGTGGTGGCACACACCTGTAATCCCAGCACTGGGAAGGGTGAGAACAGGAATATCACTGTAAGTCCGAGCTATATAGTGAGACCCTATTGTTGTAACTCAAAAATCGAATGACAACGAGGCAAGTCCAAAAATTAAAAGAAGCACTTTATTTTAGCAGGTACCCTGCGGCGGTCTCTATGAAGAGATGCAAAGAGGCGCACAGAGCATTGACAAGCGTCAGTATTTAAGCTTGAAAACCGCAAAAATAGGGAAAGGGTGGAGAGGAAGGAGTGGCAGGGTCATTAGTTCATTGGGTGGATCTATTGGGTGGGGTGCTGAGTTGGCAATCATGGGGTACAGCGGGTCATTAGTTCATTGGGTGGTCCTGCTGGGTGGGGGTACTGAGTTGGCAGTCACAGAGTTCATTAAAATAAGAAAGTTTGGGGTACAGATGTCATAAGACTTGGGTCACAGGGGTGAGGAGTTGGGAGGGGTAGGCGCATACAGAACAGGAACACGGCGAGGTTAGAAGGGCAACAAAATGGAGTCAATTTTGACAGGGTATAACACCTATATCAAATACATATAAAATATAATAAATAACAAAAAAAAGGTCACATACAGTAGTACATACCTGTAATCCCAGCAGGCTGGGAGGCTCAGAAGTTTGAGCCTAGGCTGGGCAACCAAGCAACTGAGTAAGGCTATGTCTCAGATAAACAATAAAAAAGGGCTGGAGATATACCTCAGTGTAAAGCCTTAAACTCAATGCACCATGCTGGTAGAAAATAAAAAGAAAAAAAGAAGAGAAAAGGAAGAGAAGAGGAAGGAAAAAAAGAGAAAGAGAAAAAGAGGAAGAGTAGAAGAGAAAGGACGAGTAGAAGAGAAGGAGGAGACAAGGACTTGCCATAAGAACACACATCTGTAATCCCAGCACTTGGGAGGCTGAGGCTGGAAGATTTCCACAAATGTGAGGCCAGCCAGAACAATGTAAAATAGTGAGACCTTGCATCAAAAACAAAAACAGAAACAAAAAAATCAAGGAAAGACTTGAGGATGTATCCTTGCTCAGTAGTGGAAAGCTTATGTAGCTTATGTGAGGCTCTGGGTTCAATATCCCATTCCACACACAGGAAAAGAAAGTAGGCAAATATACACATCTGTATTAATAGAAACACTGTTCACAAGAGGCAAGAAAAGGAAACAACCCAAAGGTCCATCCATAGATTAATGGATAAATAAAATGTGGAAACTGATTATGGTACAGCCTACTGGTAGAAAATACTTCCCCTAGTGTGGGTCACACTGCAGGTTTATCCACACAGCACAAGTGAAAAAATGTGGAAACGTGTACAACGCTATTCTGCCTTAAAAAGAAAAGAAATGCTGACATCTGCAACAACATGCATTAATCTTGAGGAAGTTATAATCAGTGAAATAAGCAGTCAAGGAAGAACAAACACCTTTCTCTAACATGGGATACCTAGAATCAAACTCATAAAAATATAAAATGGAATGGTTGTTGCCAAGGACTGATGTAGGAGTTACACCGAAAGTCTCAATACAGAATGATGATAAAAATTACAATTATTATTAAAGCATGTCAAAGGTGAGAGGTCATTAACAGCATTTAATTATACAGCTACACAGAGTCCTCTAGGTTCTTAACAATACACTGCTGATGACAAAATTCAAATCATGAACCATTTCTATTGGGTCTGACTAAAATAAAGAACTAAGTACTGTGGTAACACCACCTCCCTTTTATTCAAGAACCTAGTTGCTCTCTGTGGTGATTCTCACCAAAAAAACCCAGGTATAAATGCTAAGTTAAAGCAATGTCCATATAGAAACCACATTTCCATTAGTCCTATCATGTTTTTCCTGACCTACTAAATGAGGGAGAAACATTTCTGGCCCTGCCTCAAAAACAAAAACAAAAATAAAATCAAGAAAAGACATTCTGGCATTGTACTCCTTAAAGGATGGCCACACAATGTGGAGACAGCTCGAGGTAGTAACGAGGGATGATGCTGAAGGGCCTGGCACAGTGCCTACTATAATCACAGTCACCAAGGCTGAAAGAAGAGAATTTCAAGTTCCAGGCCAGCCTGGGCAAATTAGTCAGGCCCTGTCTTTACTAAGTCTAGTACTAAATTCTGGCTTCAAGGCAATGATGGTCAGAGCTCAGACAGTGGGGCGAGGAGCATCTGAAAGGAGCCGCCCTCCTACAGCACCTAACGCCCGTCGGTGTGGGCCTTGGTACTCATGGGCTCTGATTTACGATGCTTCGCTACTTTAAAGCTCGACGCTAAGTACATTCAGCAGAGGGCGGGCAGGGAAGGAGCCCCCCCCAAAGCCAACAAGCTGCCTAGGGAGCAACTCCTCGACACCTTGCAGGCCGCCTCCCAACCCCCACGGTGCTCACCCCACAATGGCGCGAGTGCGAAGCAGGCCCTCGCTGTGCTCCAAGGCCCCTTCTCCTCTTTGCCCCCCCCCCCAACGGGAAGGAAGGCGTCCAACCCTTGTCTCTCAGGACCCTGGTGGTCCCTCGCTTACCTTCCCAGCTGCTTCTCTAGCGAGGCCTGCTATGAGGCGCTGAGGGCCTCAGCAGCCTCCACGAGGAAGGCGTGGGTGGTGTGGGGCGGCCGGACGTTAACGGCCCTCGTGGCCTGGAGGTGGAGTGGAAGGATGGCCCACAATTCCTTGCGAGAGTGGGAAGGGGGGGCTGGCAAGGGGGACGGCTGGCGAGAAGAGTCAAGAGTGTGGAACTCAAGTAGGTATCATGGCACATGTCTGTAATCCTCGCAGTGCTAGGTGAAGGGAGTGAAGCAGGGTGGAAAATTTGAGGTCAGCCTGGGCTGAGAAGAGAGTTTGAGGTCAGCCTGGGTTACATAGTGAATTAGAGATCAACCTGGCAAATTTAGTGAGAGCTTGTCACAAAAAAAGAGAAAGGATACTGGGATGTGGTGGTGTACACCACCTGTAATCTGAGCATTCGGGAGGTTGAGGCAGGAAAATTGCCGCGAGTTGCAGGCCAGCGTGTGATAGTGAATTTAAGAACAGCCTTGAGCTACTGTCTCAAAAAAAAAAAAAAAAAGTGAGAAAGATGCAATTTAATCCTTACATGATGGTCTTCTGGATTGTGCACACACACAGTTAACTAGTAGTGTCTCTTTTGGGTCTATGCTCACTCTGGGAAAGCATATCTAACAATGACTCAGGATCCCACCCAACGGGCCAATGCAGAAACAAGGAAATATGTAAGGCATGTGGGTCTGGCACTATTTTGTGTTCTCCATCTACCTTTTTACTCTCCAGATCTACTTTTTTCCTCCAACCCTTAGGAGAACATAGGATATTTTCTGGAGGTACATTTTTACTTTTATGAAAACCCAGGGTTTTGCACCTAGCTACATCCCCAGTCCTTTTTATAACTTTGGATCCTGTCTTAGTCTCCGTAATAGGTGGGATTACAGGCTTGCACTACCAACTCCACACAGGACACTTGATGGATAAATCCCAGATGGGATCTGAAAGAATCGCTAAGGAGTCAGCGCCAAAGCAGGATAACTTGCTGGCTTCCACAGTACTAAAGCGGGCTGGGGCCCCGCCCTGCCATTTCCGCCTTACGTCTGACGTCACAACGCGCGGGCCTGAAGGGTTTAATCCTCCGGGTTTGCGGGCCTTTGGGTCTGCGCAGCTGTTTAAGTAGGCGCGGCATTTGAAATGCAGCGGGAATTAGTGAGTTTCCCGCTGTCTCCAGCGGTGCGGGTGAAGCTGGTATCTGCGGGTTTCCAGACTGCTGAGGAACTCCTGGAGGCAAAGCCCTCCGAACTCAGCAAAGGTAAGGACTCCCGACGGCAAGCTGAGGCACGTTTTCCTGCCTTCAAGGCTTCAGTCTCCAGCAGGCTGCCGCCGACGGCAGTCGAGTTAACCGCGGCAGATAGGTTTTAGTTCCACTTAAAAATTATACGGTCGTGTAGTGTGCACGCCTGTAATCCCAGATAATTACAAAGCTGAAGCAGGACGATGGTGAGCACTGGGCAATTTAGCGGGACCCAGTCTCCAGAAAAAGAGAAAAAAAATTGTAAAACATTTACAAATTGCTTTCTTAGCCCCAGTGCCTGCTGAATGTTTTCAGGATCATCGGGTTTACGCTCAAAAGAACCCTTTTCTTGGGTTAATACGTCCAATATATAGGTGAGAGAACCGATCTGCTTGAGGAGGTTATGCAATTTCATGCAAGTGGTTAGGATCTAGTGGTGCTAGAATTGGAAAGGAGATTGTGTATTTTTCGGTGGTTCCAAGACCTAAAGAGTGGGGATTAAATTCCAAAAAGGAATGATTCGTGTGGAACTCAAAAATAAATAAAATAAAAATTAAAAAAATCGGAGAATATTTATTACCTCAGATCTAAATAAAACAGCGAGACTCCGCCCCCTTCACAGGTAGCTGGGGTTAAAGCTAAGGGCACTTCACCACTGAGCACATCCACAGGCACACTTTATTAATTTTGAGACAGGAGCTCTGTAAGTTATTCCGGCTGGCCTTGATCTTGGGATGCTTCTGCCTTAGCTCCCAGAGTAGTTGCATTCCATTTTTCTTACCTAATTCACTGAAAAGCCCCAAACTTCGTTTTCTAGACCACTGAAGATCGTTTGTTGGTAGAGCCTTACATCCTGAGGTATATAACAAAAATGATGTTAGCTGTGATTACTCTCATAACACTATGATATGGCCAGGCCAGTGCTATTTACTAAAGAAGATAGGTGTTTTGGGAATTTTTTTCTTTTGTGGTACTGGGGTGGAATCTAGGCCTCATTCATATATGCTAGGTTAGAGAGCTACCACTGAGCTACATTCTTAGCATCACTTGGTTATCTAAAAATTAAAATTAATGAAGACAAATCATTATTGTGCTAGATCTATATCTTTAAAATCAATGTTGTTATTGTCTTCTTTTCCTTACAGAAGTTGGGATATCTAAAGAGGAAGCCTTAGAAACTCTGCAAATTATAAGAAGAGAATATCTCACAAATAAACCAAGAAGTGATAGTACACCTGATACTTCATGCAAGAAGTATACAGCCCTGGACCTCCTTGAGCAAGAGCATACCCAAGGCTTCATAGTTACCTTCTGTTCAGCACTAGATAATATTCTTGGGGGTGGCATACCCTTAATGAAAACAACAGAAATTTGTGGTGCACCAGGTGTTGGAAAAACACAATTATGGTAAAATACGATATTCCTGTCTTGAGGGTGAGCTTAGTAGCATTTTATGTAAGTAATATTGTGCTTTAGGTTTATTGTTTATTTTTATATTATTATTATTATTATTATTATTATTATTATTATTATTATTTGGCAGAACCGGGGATTGAACTCAGGCCCTGCGCTTGCCAGGGAAGCGCTTATTCCATTGAGCCATCTCCCCGGCCTGTGCTTTAGGTTTATAGTCAGAGCAAGAAAGGTGTATGTGACTTTTACTTGTATGTGTATGTGCATCTGACAAAACCCAGTTTCTTAACAAAAATGGGTTTTTTGGCAGTGTTCTACTCTAGTCACTAGGGTAAACAGGCAGTCTTACACTTTTAAAAATTTACTTGTTTGTTTGTTTGTTGTCTTTTTGAGACACAGACTCCCTATGCTGTTCAGACTTGCCTTAAGTTCATTTTGTAGCCCAGGCTGATCTTGCAACCATCCTCCTGCCTCAGCCTACTGAATTCTGGGATTACAGGCAGTTTTATACTTTATTAAACATTTGAAAGACTTATGCATGATAAGAAGGAGTTCATTTCTAGAAGCCTAAAAAATACAGAAAGTCCTTAATCTTGATTTCAGGATACAACCTTCTAATCTCAGCATTAGTTGATACACAGACATCTGGAGGCATGGAGAGTCATCCGTCTCTATTGCCTTGGGTAGCATGTTTGCATTTATAAGCACTTTTAGAGGTGTCTCACTGGCCATTATCTGGAGTTTGAAAACATTGCCTTAGGTGGCTGAGGGTGTAGCTCAGTGGTAGAGTGTTTGTTTAGTATGCGCAAGGCCCATGCTCAATTTCTGGTACTACACACACACACACACACACACACACACACACACACACAAAAAAGCACTGCTTTGGTGATGATGATAATCATTTTGTCATTTAACTTATTTCTTGATAGTATGCAATTGGCGGTTGATGTGCAGATACCAGAATGTTTTGGAGGAGTGGCAGGTGAAGCCATTTTCATTGATACAGAGGGAAGTTTTATGGTTGAGAGAGTGGTAGATCTTGCTACTGCCTGTGTTCAGCACCTTCACCTTGTAGCGGGAACACACATGGACGAGGGTAAGTTAACATTGTTTTCTCTTTTTTTTTTGCATATAAAAAAGAATTTGTATTTGTGCCCATTTTATATCTCAGTAAGAGACTATTCGTGAAACTTACATAACAGTGTCTTAGTGTTAAGTTATCATAGTTCTGTGTTTTTTTTTAATACTTCTGTTTTAAAATGAGAAATAAATGCCACACCCTGAATTGGGCTATTCTTTTATAGTTTTCATTTCTTAGTGCAGTACTTTGGGGACAAAATCTTTGTCTGTTTTTCAGTGCATGACTTCAAATCGTCATATTCAAAGTTGCTAATGTGTACACTTAGTATAAGACAGTGTTGATAAATGTATTGAGCGTATATTGATTTCCATACTGTGTTTTCCAAAAAAAAAAAAAAAGCAAGGTGGTTTTCAAAACCACACCTAGAAGTATTGAGAATTTTAAACTCATTGACCTTTTGAGACTTTGAATACTTTTGTTGATTTGAGTTTCGGAAGTTTGGTGCTTAAAAAATTGATTATAAAACTTTTTTAAATTTTATTGTATTTTGAAAAGTAGAAACAAGTAAAACAAAGAGAAGACAGTAAAGGGTAATATATAACAATACATATGTTACAGATTTTCAAAACAGGGATAGCTAATTAACAGTGGTTGTTATATTATCTATTTTTATCATCAAATCTGTTGCTCAGATTAACAGATGTAGTTATGCAAGATTGGACAAATAATTGAATATTAATGCTTGCTTTCAAGAAGTCTTAAGGGCTGGCGATATAGCTCAGCATACTAAACGCTTGCTTAGATAAGTGCAGGGGCCAGGGTTCCAATCTCTGGTACTGCATGTGTGCTGGCCCTGCCCCTGAGCACACTGAGCTGGCGACTGAGTCTGGGTGTGGTGGTGCACACCTGTAATCCCAGCACTAGGGAGGCAGAAATCAGGAGGATCACTTTGAATTTGAGCTGTGGAGTGAGATCCTGCACACACACACACACACACACACACACACAATTATACACATGAAAAACCTAAAAAAAGATTCTTTGACGTCTTTTTTTTTTTTAATTTATTTATTTGTGTGTGTGTGTGTATATGTGTGTGTGGCCAGTTCAGCCCACCAGGGGGCGGGGCTGGCTGGCATGTGGTGCTGGGGATTGAACCCCGGTCCCTGTGCTTTGCTAAACTTGTTCTAAGTAGGTGCTTTAGACCACTGAGCCATCTCACCAGCCCCTCTCTGACATCTTTAAAAAAAGAAAAAAAATTAATTTTTTTCTTCGTCTTTTTCTTACTTATTTTAAAGAGACTACAATAATTGATAAGACATTAGAAATGGTATATGTTTAGAAGACCATTAAATATATAATCTTATAAAACATTAGAAAGGTTGTTTTTCTTCATATTGAGGATTGAGTTTTACTATTGAGCTGTATAAGCCGTATTTTCATTTTTTTTTTTTAATTTTGATACTGGATCTTATAAAATTGTTAAGTTGCACAGGCTGAATGAAACTTAGTGCCTTCTGCCTCAGCCTCTCAGAGTGCTAGGGTTAGAGGTGGCCTGGCTAAAACGTACTTTTATTTATCTTTTGTGTGTGTGTGGTACTTGGAATCGAACACAGGACCTAGCGCTTGCCAGGCAGGTGCTTGTACTGCTGTTTTAGGACTCTTTTTGTCCTGAAACATACTTTTTTTTTTTTTTTTTTGCGGAACCGGGGATTGAACTCAGATCCTTGCGTTTGCCAGTCAAGCGCTTATCCTACTGAGCCATCTCCCCGGCCCCTTGAAACATACTTTTAAAAAACTGTTTAGGGCTGGCAAGATAGCTCAGTGGACTAAGCGCCTGCTCAGGTAAGTGTGACGACATTGGTTTAATCCCTGGCACTACATAACATGCCAGCCCCGCCCCCAGACATGCTGAGCTGACCACTGAAACTATGCCTGTAATGCCAGTGCTGGGGAGGCTGAACACAGAATCATTAGGAGTCCAAGCTGCATGATGAGATCCTGAACCAAATACATAAAAAGACTATATGCAAATTCTTGTCCTTTTCATTATTTATCAGAGTTGGGCCAGCAATATAGCTCAATGGCACAGTGCCTGCCTGGCAAGCATGAGGTTCTAAGTTCAATTCCTGGTACCAAAAAACCCCAAATGAACAACAACAACAAAAAAGAAGTAAATGACCTCTATTTTGAGTATTTGTTTTGTTTTATTTTATTTTTTGTGCTACTGGGAGCAAATTCAGGGTGTTGGTGCTGAGCTACATCCCTCACCCTACTTATTTAAGTCTTCCTAAGTTTTCTGGGCTAGGTTTAAACTTATTCAACTGGTATGCACCACTGCTCCTGACACCTATACATTTTAAATTGTAATAATTAATTGGTTTCTCTCTGAAATATGTACAAAACCAAACTTACTATTTCTTTTTCTTTTTTTGCTGGTGCACACCACCTTAAGGGCAGGTCTGGTAAGGCATGTGGAGCTGGGGATTGAACCACAATTCCCTGCGCCTGACTGGGTTTGCCTGAGTGGATGCTTAAACAACTGAGCTAAACCACAGGCCCCCTAAACTTATTTCTTGACCTAATCTAAGCATTTTATATTCTTTCTCCTTATATACTATTCAAGGGAAAAAATACTCATTTAGATGTCTTTCCTTTTAATTCTTCATTTCTAGTGTTATGAAAAATATAAGAGAAACCTCTTTATGTTTCTTCTGAGCAACAGAAATCTATGCCTAGAGATGTGAAAATTCAGTCATTAAAGCACTGCTTAGGTTAGATATGGTAGTACATGCCTGTAATCTAAGCTGTTAGGAACTGGACAGTTTAGCAAGACCATGTCTGAAAACAAAAAAGCAAAATGAAGAGAAAACTAGTTTTGTATGTGAATGAACAACATCTAGATAACTTATAATGTAAGGAAATGGTAGAAAAAGTGCAAAAGAGGTCAGGAATTATGAAATGATGGCTTATAGTAATGATGTTATAATTTTATCTTTCAAATAAAGTTTGTTATACCAAAAACAGCCTTTTGTTAGAAAGAGTTGTTTTTCTACAGTTTTCAGCCTGTCAAAATAAATAAAAGTAGCTGGGTTTAATGACACATGCCTGTAATTCCAGCACTTGCCATGAGTTTTGAGGCCAGTCTTAACCACATAGCTAAACCCTATCTTAACCAAATCAAACAAATTAAAAAACAAGTAAAATTATTAAGATTGCTTTCTTGTTTGTTTCAGAACACCAAAAAGCTTTGGAAGATTTCACTCTTGAAAATATTCTTGCCCATATTTATTATTTTCGTTGTCATGATTACACAGAGCTACTGGCACAAGTTTATCTCCTTGCTGATTTCCTTTCAGATCACTCAAAGGTATGGGCCAAACTACTGATATAACTAAGCAAGTATTTTTGGAGTTATTTGATAAGCATAAAAAGGAAATACATAGCATGAAATCAAAATCAGTCTCCTTTGCTGCCCTACAGTTCATGTTTATTTTACATATGTTTGCACATTATTCAAACTTTAGTTTCAAAGGTATTTATACATTGTCCATGTATGTGTATATATGCAGGTGTGTGGAGTTTTAAAATTTAAATAATGCACATGAATTTTGGTTTGTGAGCATAATTTATTGGGGCAATATGCTTGTAATCCAAAACACTCATATGTCAAACCAGATATCTCTAAGAAATGATTTTTTTGTTGTTGTTTTGTTTTTTGTTTTTTGTTTTCTCTGAATGCTTCAGGGCAGTTTTGGCTGGCTTGAGTTGTGGGGATCGAACCACAGCAACCTGTGCCTGACTGCTTTGTTGAAGCATCCACTTAAAGAACTGAGCTAAGGGGCAGGGCCCCTCTAAGAAATGATGGAACCAGATATAGTGACACATTCCTGTAATCCTGTTACTCAGGAGGCTGAGGTAGGAGCATTGCCATGAGTTTGAGGCCAGCCTGGGCTACATAGTGAACTCAAGGCCAGCCTAAACTACACAGAGAGATCCTGTCTCCAAAACCCTCCAAAAAAACTAAAATAATGGAAACTGAGATGCGTCATTCCACAACCCAAATGATTACACAGTACTATTATATATTACAAACCAATAAAGAAAATACAAAATGTAAGAAAAAGCAAATTAACCTGACCCAACCTTTCAACACTTCTGTAGCTGGTGTCAGAGAGAAGAGAGGAGGGTTATTATATAGGACAACTTTCACTATTACTAGTGGAATCACTGGTACCGATTGGCTCAGTGGAGTCTTTTTCTTTTCATGCAGTTTTTTTTTAAATTTTTTTTTATTTTAACATTTATTGTGTGTGTGTGTGTGTGTGTATGTGTGTGGCCAGCTCAGCCCACCAGGGGGCGCGGCTGGCTGGCATGTGGTGCTGGAGGATTGAACCGCGGTCCCTGTGCTTTGCCAAGCTTGTTCCAAGTAGGTGCTTTAGACCACTGAGCCATCTCTCCAGCCCCATTCATGCAGTTTTAACAAGGAACTCATCCAGAGGGTTTGCTTTTGCCTCCTTTTGAGGATTTTGTGGAAATGTGACATTGCATCACTAGTAATCATTCATTACTCACACCGGTACAGCCTTTTTTGGAATGTGGTGCTCTTCTACAAAATTTTGCGCTGCTCTTCACATTTAGCCATCTCCCGCATCTCACTTGAAATGAGGGACTTCTCTGTCTTTTTCTTCTCCTACTCTATAGATAAGACATTCATAACCACTTGCTGTTGGGAGATGATCATTCACAACTGAGAGAGAAGACATTGGTTTATAATCATATGGCATTAGTGTCATTGTAAGATAACAATCAAAATGTGTTAGAAATATTTGCTCTTTGTGCAGAACACTCACAGAACAAGTTATTCACACAAATTTTTTTTTTTTTTTTAGCAGTGAAGGTTTTACTCTTAATTTAAAAATTGAGG